TTTAAAATCTTGACGAAGTTGTACTAAGTATTTATGATTATTCCAAGTTTATAATTTAACATGTGGTTATGCTATTAAAAAGTTGTTTAGTGGATTTTTTATTAATCTTTCCCATGTCTTTCAAGTTTTGATTTGAAAACAAATACAATTTTAATTACAGGTACAAGATCCCTATATTTTCTTTCTTTAACATTTTTTATTTATACATTTCATGCGGTTGATAAGTTTTTATTATCGGAATATAAATTTATGATTTTTAATATCCAAACCGACCAACCCGATCGAAACTTGATGGGTTGGGTTGGAACACATAAATGGGTTGGGTTTGTTTGATTTTTGATCAAACCGATCATATTGGATTTGGGTTGGATAAAAAACCGACCCAACCAACCCGACCCATGCCCACCCCTACTGTTCCATCATAAAATTTCCTTTTAAAACACCTTTTGATCTATGCTCATACCCTTTTACCCAACATTATCAATTTCTATTCGCTTCCATCTCCACCCTCATTATCAAACATATAATTCTACAAAATTTATAATTTTATAAGTTTCATATATGATTTTTCTACAATAGAATTGATTCGAAGAACAAAGCTCATAGTAGGGTGGACATGAATTTTGAAGCAATGCAAAGTGCAAATAACAAAAGTCTTGATAAAAACTTTAGAAAAAATAGAAAAAAGTTATGGGACGTTGACAAATAAATATTGTGTACAAATAAATATTATTGTAATTAAAATATTACATTCGTTTGGCTATCATGAAGTCAGGTTTATGTCTAGGCCTTCTCCATCCTAAATTCCCTTTTAAAACACCTTTTGATCCATGCTCATTAGGCCATTTTACACAACATTAACAATTTTTTGTTCACTTCAATCTTCACCCCTCAATATCAAACATATGAATGTGTTTGAGACACATTCTTTTGAAAGAATGTATTATTGAATAGTAGATTGATGGAGAATGTATGGTTAAAAATGAAGGAAATGTTATTGATGTGATGAAAAATATTATTTTATTGAATAA